TTTAATCCTGTTATTCCGTTTTTAGCAACTTTTCAGCAGACAGCCTAACGGCCTCCATCATGAGGGTCTTTCATACCAGTTTTATTAAAGAACAGAAAGATTTCCCCTCTCCAGTGAAACCTGCAATTTTTCACACAAGATGCAACAAATGAATTTAAAGAAAGTTAACGAGTGGCTGAAAACACTGACCATACAAAGTAGCTACACATGACTTTCTAAAGTCATGAAATTATTAATCTTCCACTGTAACACTTGTGTTATTTACAGGATCTTCAGCAGTGACATCTGTCACAAGAAGTGGAGCACTGCTAAATAACTGTATTCCCTTCATTTGGGTTACACTTTTTTAAAAACACACAGACCGACCTTCAGTAGCATGCTAGCATAAAGAAAATCATGACAGCTGTTCCCAAGAATACCAGAACGAAGAATACACGGTAGACAACCAAAACAAGCTCCACGATGGGGGATTTGAATACGGAAAGATCACGACGGGGAACACATGAACTGAAGAAGGGGTCAGCTGAGATGTCTCACTACATACAAAGAGGATGCTGGTGAGATAGTGCAACTGCATAGTATTGTTTTGTATGACCATCTGAATTTTCTAAGGGCATGCTGCAAAATTTATCACTAACTCATAGCCCTAGAAAACAATCAAATTCACACTTTCTGCTCTTGGGATATTAGTTGCTGTAGTCACCTCAAAATTTTTACAAAAATCGTCAACAGCTCTATCACAGATGTCTAATAGCATCTGAAAAACAAGTATCAACTTTTTTTCTTCTTCACTGCTAATAGTTTGGTTGCACTAGATCTGTCCTCAACATCAATAACTAAGAAAACAAGTAAGGTGCTCCCCAAATTGTTTGCCAGCTGCCAAACAAAAGCTGTCGGGTAATTCAGTGTTTAGGTTTCATTCAGTCTCAGGTTAAGACTGACTCAGCTCGGTGGAGCTCAGGATAACCATTCACCATTTTGCTCCTAATATTTATCTGCAGTAACAGGGAGAAATCCACAGTTAAAAATCCTTAGAGAATAATTAAAGAAATAACAACAATTAAGGAAGTAATAATTAGTATGCCTTCAGTATTTTTATGTTCCAAATCTCAAAGCTTCATTCCTACAGCTCAGAGCTAAACTAGAAAGAAACATGAAGTATTCAGTAGGTCAATACGTGCTTTTTTAAAATATTGTTCTTCAGAGTTGTAACCAAATCTTTGATACGTGATTGGGAGGAGTTTTGTGTTTCCACTGCTCTGTTTGTGCCCTGCTGAAGATGGGGCAGAGTAACAACAAATGGATGTGCACTGAGCTGAGGCCCTCAGAAAGCTTACAGGCGTGGGAACAGTCCCCAGCTCGGGAGACACAAGCAGAAAGGATAAATCAGGGAAGAAGAGGAGCGGCTGGATGGGTCTCCTGGATGGGATTTCAAGAGGGCACGAACAGGTGAAAAATTAGAAGCACTTTTAGTAAGGTATATGTTACATCCTATTTCACTGATAAAAATCTATTAATTGTTAGGGAACTACAGGGTTGGCCTTGCTTGATAGCACCTAGAAAAACCTGCTTTCTGTTGTGTCTCCTTTCACAGCTCAGGTGACTTTGCATTTAGAAAGACAACCCATCTTTCTAAGGCCTCAAGGTATTTTTGCTAAGAATTTTCAGAAGTTGGTCTTGAGCTGGTACTAAACTATTAACTCCGCAAAAACATAATAGTTCAGTCCAGACCTCAAATAACAGGTTATGTGGCAAAACATTAAAAAAACCTAAGATTTATCAAACCAGTCATTAAACAAAAATTTATGACAGTTAGGTGAGAGTTTAAAGGCTCAACCTGATGAGAAGTTTGTCTTCTCCTTTCAGCAGTGGCTGTCCCCATCAGATTCTCCTAAGATTTCATTTTAACTTGAACCTTCAAAACCACTGTTAAATTTTGGGGGCCCACTGAAAGAGTCAGGCCAAAATTTATAATCTGCAAATGAATTTAACAAAACCTTCAAGCAAGTGCAGCTAATGATTTACCTCTGACAATTTTCAGTGACACATGCAGGAACCTCGTGAAGCAAGTAACCATTTTTTTCTGAATTTGAAATAAAACAAACCAGAGCAAAAGAATTTCCAGATGCAAATGAAAACCATAAACCCAAGGTATTTTTCTTAACAGATTTTATGTACCACCACATATCTTTGTTTTACATGTGAACTAGTCTGCAATAAAGTTTCAGATGTTTAAGATTGTTCTTTGCATTTATTAAAATATTAGATTGTTTTCTTTAAAGAAAAATTAACACAGGAAATCAGAGCGGATGCACGGCCTGTCACTGTGTACTACTTACCAATGACTCTTGCTCGATTAAATCTCATTATTCTCAGCATCACCACTGAGAAGAATGATCTACAGACAGGTCAGTGACAGGTGAACCATGGACTCCATGCTACCCACTGGATCATAGTTCCATTAAGAAACCATCTTTATCTTTAACAAGTGCAGGAGCTCCACCTGAACAACTTCATACTCAAAGAAATGTTTTCAATCGTGCAGAATTGTTGTATCGTGTCAACAGTCTTAGACTAAAACCAAACCAAACAGCACAAAACTGCTACTGAAGTATGTAACTTCAGAAAACGAAAGCAAAACTGCCATCTCTCTTCAAAATAATCAGTTAAGTAAAAAATTATCAACTTGAATATGATATTTAGATATTCCAGTTTATGGCACATTTTTCCACATATTAGTTGAACTGTAAACTACTTTGCCAACAGTTTCTCTGGGCAGGGATTTTAATTTTTCATGAACACACTGCTCTAATAAAGTACTTGGCATTAGTTATGGCTTTTGAATTAAAATGCATTCATGACATTAAATTTTAACATCACTAAGCCATTAATTTTGACCAGCTTTTTTTTTCCCCATGTAGTGTTCAAAAGAATTAGCAACGAAGTGCATATTTCACCAGGAAAAGAATGAAAGCTGTACTAATAAAACTTATTTTTAAGTTCTCAGCTGCAAAGAATGGTAATATTTTATATATACTGACTGACAACCAAATGAAAGTAAAATCCAAATTTGCTGTTCTGATAAAGGCTTATCTGTTGAATATCACATAATAGTTCAACTTATGATCAAGGGCAACTTAACACACAAGCTACATTTTCTGTTTTCAGAGATAAAACAGTTTACAGCACTGCAGAACAGTTATATAAATCGTCTAGCTCAAGCACTGACTTTAGTTCCAATTTGCACTATAAAATTTTGCAGGTAATAACTAAAGAGCTGAGCCTACTCAGCTGTGGATGCTGATCTGCTGTTTCTTCAGGTATGCATGTCCCTGTGGCTGCCCTACTTTGCCTTACGAAAAACTCCCCCTTTGTCTGCTTTGTTCAGGGTAGCATTCAGAAATCTCAAATGTTATAAATCATAGGTATTTCAGTTTTTATTATAAAATCATTACTTCAGATACATCTACTGGCCCCTACAACCTTTCTACTAATTACCTGCTGACAGTATGGAAGCCCAACAGCAGATTTCAAATCAGTTTTCATCTTGTTTCATCTCATTCACCTTGCACACATGAAACAGTGTAGAAACTTAAGATGCTTAACAGGAACAGCCAATTTGATATCCGATTCCCATGCTAGTATCATTCTGCTGTTCAATAAACTACAGTCAGTGAAGTAGCTCTGTTTCAGTTACACATTTTAATTGAGTACAATTTACACACTTCATACAGCTTTAAGTAGTGCGTCAAATTTGCTCAACAACAAGAATGCAGCTCACTAAAACAGATGTCTGATCCTCCAGCTTCCCCAGTTCTTAGTATCGGTTTTCTTTATTACTCCCCATTAACTTGTAGATAAATTAAGCATAACATAAGTGTCTAAAATTCCAGCTGTGCTGCAGAATGCTGCTGTAAGGCTAATTTAAGTCCAAGTAGTTTCATAATCTGTGCAGTTATTTACAAAGGCAGCAGTAATGCTATTCTGACAACCTAATTAAATTTCAAGTAATGTTAGCAGGAATCTGATTGCAAAATGGCTCATTTTATAAACATCACTCTATTTATGACTGACAAAAATATGCACGATCAGGTGCCAACTCCTTCACAAATACATATTTTACAGCTTGTGTCATAAATTGCTTGCAAGTACAAAATTCAAAGAAGTTAAAGGTTTATGCTCCATCCATAAAAAAATGGAACAGTTCAGTCAAAGATTTCACGGATTTTGCTCTTCTGCCAGTTTCACAACCATGTAACTTTACTAGTTTCAAGAGTTACTCCCAATATATACATAAATTTACATCTAAATAAAGCCATCTCCTGTATACAGTATTGGCCCTGGCATTACACATGAGCTTAAAACACAAGTGAAATACAGAACAGAGAAAAGATAATTGGACTATTTTAAGACCACTATCTACTCTGTGTATCATAGTGCACATGGAGCACACACTTCTTCTGAATTTGCTTTTTAAGTTTGCTGCCCCTCGTCTCTTTAAAACTGTGTGGGCCATGAAGTACCGAGTAAGTCTGGGGAACCTCCCCCCCAAAGAAACCACCCCCAAACCCACATTTCTAATTGGAAATGTTTCTGAGTTAAAAAACCATATGTTATATCCCACTATTTAGCACAGTAATGAAGCCTAAATCAAACCACTTCCTCGTGGTAGTGACTGCTGTGTTGACAGCCCTTATAGCTTTTCTAATTATAGTACAGGTTAAAAGAAAGTATTGAATGATTTAGCTCAATCATGTATGACGGATATGTTGCTAATAAACTTAAGTGTTTGGTACTGGCCAACCTCCCACACAAACAGAACTTCTAGTGGTTCTGAAATGCCTGCTCTTCTCAGTCACTTAGAATCCAGTCAAAAATCCAGTCTCAATCTCATCTTGGAGTCACTGGGTTTTTCTGTTTGATGGTGTTGTGGTGGGGTGTTTGTTTGTTTGTTTGTGGGGGTTTTGTTTTTGTTTTTTAAACACACTTCCACTACGACCACTTAAAAATAATAGTCTCAATATAGCAGAGATGGAAGCAATTGAAAGTCAGACCTCATGGTCCTCAAACTTAAGACATAGTTTTCAAAACCTCTAAAGGTGATGTGCCTTCTGGTTTTATTAAAAATGAAGGTAACATCAAATAAAAAGCAAAACTAAAGAAGAATAGGTAGAACATTTTACTTTCATCAAATCTTAAATGTGAAGTATATTAAAAAAATCCCATGGCTTGGAATTTCAAGAACAGGAATAAAAACATCTATTTTCTATCCCAGAAAAAAATTCATGCAGATATTACAGTAATTGGTCACTCTCTATACCCACTGGTATGCATCATCAACTTAATGTTATTAAATACATAAAGAGATACCAATAATCCGTACAAATAGCAGGTTCTTCTGGCCTCAGTTATACACATACTGCAGAACAAGCAAATCTTTTCTTTGGTAACTGGAGTAGGCTCATTTACTGTTCCAACGCAGGACTGTTAGGAGGCCGTATCAGCTACCCATCTCTGAAAATCACACATCCTGCAGACGTAGTCTGGACTACTTTTGTCCGAGAGATTAAATTTAGAGATGGTATTAGAAGTATAGATGCAAAGAAGGTGAAATTATTCATTCTTTGTGGTGGCTGTTTCAGGAAAAAAAAAAAACCAAACTCTCTCCTTCTCCATTCATTGTTTAATCTAGGTAACATTTAGATCCATACGTAAAGGAATTTTGATAGATGGGAATGTACACATGCACACTTTCAGTTTAAATAAAGAGACCTGTGAGGAGAATGGCAATTTAAAGATAACACGACTTGTAGGTATTCCTATAATAAAGCTTAAAGATTTAGTAAACTGGGACATTACAAATCCAAAAAAGTGTTTCCAGATTTTTCATCTTCCCTTTTTCAACAAAGACTGACAGAATATACATATACAGGTTGACATTTTCATTTATCCAAAACAATTTTCACTTTGCTCAGTTTGCAAGTCTATTGACTAAAATGTAGTATCATTCACGACAAAATATTTTCAGTAAGTGAAACAATATGCAAAGAAAACCAAAACTAAGCTCAGAAGCTAAGTGGTTTAGAAATCCTTGTAACTTCTACGTGTGCGTGCTTAAGTGTGTCTAGAATTTTTTTATACATTATATGCATAGACACACACATACATACACACACACGTGCGCACATGTGCACACACACATTTGTAACCTGCAGTGAAGATCAATCTATTTACTAATAAGGAACAAAACACATTATTTAAAAATGTAGCTAATTTAACAAAACAGAGAAGAAACTGCTGCTATCAAAATATACAATTTGGATTGCAGACTAGAAGGCTAACAACATTAAAAAAATAGTTTTAAGCAAAACCCCTTTGCTTCTGAATAACAACAGGTATCAACCTGCTATAGCATGAAGCATCCAAACAAGATTTTATAAAAAGTTTAAACTGTGACCCTTCTTCATTTGTAAAGTTCTTGGCATATCATATAGTGTGAGCTCTGGTCTCCAAAGTGGAGCCTCTTTCATTTTTCTCAATCCATGCTTCAGGAAATAAATGGCAGCTGAAGGACTCAGAATCTCAAGTGAGATTTGTGCTTTACCATATACCTGAAAAAAATTAACAGAAAACATCATCACTACTCTTTTGGCATTTACTGAAATTTTACTCTCAGAAAAAATATGCACAGACTTTGTTAAAACCAAATTCTTAGAGACTTTGCAAGTTGCCAGAGAGATGCAATGCTTATATGCCATATAGCTCTGTATTATGCATAGTATTTGTCCAGTAAAAAACAGTAAGCTAAAACCTTTGCTTTGAAGAAAATTCATATTTTCCAAGGCATCACATGACTTCTAACATTGGAAGACTGTTGTTAAAGATAACTCTAGCTCATTCCAGGAATTCAGACACATATTTTAGCTGACACTTTAAACAGGAAGCCACAGAAAGTTTGATGCTTGGAATTATTTTTTAAATTCCCATAGGATTTTTCTTTTTGAAATTCACTTAATCATTCAAGCAGTTTGCTGTGCAATCAACATGTAAAGATTAAACCCTCACAAAATGTATGGGCTTCTCCCTTCCCTCAAGATTTCTTCAAATGCTTCACGCTAAGAAAGTTTTTTCTCTACAACATGAAAAAGATATTGCAATGAACGTCCTGTTCTGAGCGGGTTTTGAACCAGCAGAATCAGAAGCAGCGCTGCTCTTCACAGAGCTAGCGGTGCTCCTCTATTCCTCACTTGTCACGAAGGTGTAAGCACTTGGAAAGCCCCCAAATACAGAAGAAACACTGGTCCAGAATTCATTATGTGCCACATGTTTGCTGACCTCCTCTGTCTTCTACCCAGTGCTGTGGACTCAAGGGCATCAGGATATGATAATGCTTTGTAGCTCTTTATCTTAAAATAGTTTCTCACCTCTTCTAGACTACCATTTAGTGAGGTGGAGAGAAAAAAGGGAGCTCCTAAGCCCAAGGGGAGGGCTTGGGGAAGAAAACAAAACTCTGCACTCCCTAGCCTGTTCTCCATTCCCTTCCTTCTGCCTAAAGGGAAGTGGGGGGTCATGGTACAATGCTTAATAGTAACTACCTTTCCTTTAAATGCATGCATATTACACTGTGGAGATTATTTATAGTTTATAATAAAACACAGTGGTATATATTTAACTGTATCATCAGGGAAAAAACTAAACAAGAAGTATTTTCAACCTAAACATTTTTCACATTTCTAAGTTGTCTACAATTCCCTTGTTGCCGTAACTTTTCATTCCCACCGACCATCAGAAAAGCATAAGCATAAAGGATTTTCAACAGGAAACGTACCTGTCCAAAGTTTCCCAGAAGCGTAGAAATACTGGCCTATCCAAGTGTCTTTTGTGGTAGCTTAGTTCTAACACTGTTACATCCCATTTCTGGACGTTTGGATCCAGACGTACTTCATCATATTTGAGATGAAAAGCTTTAACTACAGGAAACAGGAAAAAATTTTGTGTACAAACACGTTGACTCTGGTGTTTAAGTATTAGTCAAAGAGAATTGCCACCCCACCCCTCTTTTTTCAGAACAGGGTCTGGCTCTCATGCCATTACAGGTTTAAGTGAAGGGTCAGCCCCTATTTTTAGATGCACAGATTCCGGAAAAGCAGAAACTCACTGCCAATTTAAGCATATTTTCTTTGGGAAACAAGGATGTTCTTTCTGAAAATCTATGAACTGCCTAAGAATTTAAAAAAAAAAAAAACAGGCCCAAAAATGTTTCTGAGACCACTGAGAAGGAAGACTGGCCATTTCCTGGAAGTCTGTAGAGAAGAGTGAGAGCAGAATGCCAATGTAATCCCCAAATGCTACATGAAGCATTCCAAGAAATTTACTAACTGCCAATTTCCCCTGACCTAGTACACACTTAAAAATGGTAAAATATGAACAGTTATTTTGCACGTAGGAAGTACTCTCACATGTGAATTACGTCATATGCAAGCATTAATATAGTGAGTGTTAAAAAATTCTTGAGATTCTTCTTGATTTCCTTAGGCAAATCATAGTTTTCACATAATTAGTGCATAGTATTTCAAACTTGTGCAATTCCTGTTTGGTAGCTAATTTGATATATTTTCTATTTTGGGTATTATTGGAGAAGTAAAGCAGAAGCATTTGACAAGGCTTATGGAAAGTAGTTATTTTTAAAGCCATGGCCTTATCTTTCACACTCTTCATTTTTATTTCCACAAAATCTACCTACAATTTAGGCAAATGGCCAAGATAAATAAACACACACATAAATAAATAAAGTCCCCTTTCCCAGATCCAGGTCAACATATTAAATTATATATCTATGAGCTTTCTAGAAGATTGGTATCTGAAATAAGCTTTTTTTCCAATTACCAAAGCAAAGAAGTGATCATCTGGCTTATACGACTGTTAAATGTATTTCTAAGCTTTGTGAATGAAAACTAAGAATACATACACAATATCTTTGCTATACAATGTTGTCTGTTTTAAAATAACTCCAGAGAAAGCAAATAAAGGTCTACCAGGGCTATGTGTTTAGAGAAAACTTAATCAACACCTGACAGAGCCTCTGCATTAAGTTTAAACAATATTGAGCAGAAGACAATCCACTTCTGAAGCTGAAACAACTCAGTGTTAAAGCACACTAATGTGCTCTAGCAGTAAGACCTTTAAAATGGTATTTAAAATTAAATATTTGTTCACTGAAGGGACATCACTCAAAATTTCATCTGAAACATTCACTCACAGGTGCAAAAATAAGCTTGTTTGCTACGTGAACATTAAACACTCAGACCACGTATAAAGAAAATGAAGAACAGTATTAGGGACCCAAATAACAAAATACTGTGTGACATAGCAATCAAGCAAATAAACCCATTTTGACAGGCTGTGGTCCACTACAACTTTTATGAGGAGTTTTTTTATGGTAAGCTACCTGCTTGTTTTCAAAAGTGACAGCGATAAGCTTTGCATGTTTGTTAATTGCTACGGACCCATATGAAACAATAATCTGCCGCAGATCCCAGAAACCACATCTATGACAACTACTGAAGACTACAAATAAGAGCAAAGCAGTAGCTTCAAGAAGAGGTAAACACATACAACCAGGCTGACGTTGCCTGTGCTCTCTCTATTTACACTGTTGTGATTCTGAGGAGTAAGTAAAATCATTGGGAAAAGCCCTAACACTCTTATAAGGAAAATATTGTCAAAAATCCCTCACTCTGAAACAACAGAATGCATTTCTAAAATTAAAGAAGGCCCATTTCAGTATATCTTTATAAGTCAAGTAAGAACAGATATCCATCTTTCACTTAAAAAATGTAAGAATTTGCAGACCTTCAGACTATGCTATGCAGGCTATGATCTTGATGTTTGGGCATAGCAAAGACTTCAAAAGTGCCAAAGCACTTTGTAACAATTCCTATGGCCCGCTACACATTTCTCTATATATGTCAACAGCAAAATTAATGGGAACCAGCATGCAACTATTAGCTAGATCTTTAAAAGTTGTTTAAAAGCATGTCTCAGAAACTGTGAAAAGCCGAACAATTTTCTCTGTATCTTCATTCTGAAGAAGTTTTCTGTCTTTCATTAGTCTCTTTTGTACTCTCTCCTGTGATGTATTTTTTCTTTTATGTTGAATTTCAAGCTCTTTCACTATCTCTCTGTTCATTCTCAATTGCCTCCTAAGCAACCCATTCTATTTTCTTGTTCACACCCTTCCATCTAACTATTTGTGCCATCCCATCCCGTTCTCCCCCAGTCAAACTAGCATGCTCTTTCTGGCTTCCACTTCACATACCAAATATGTGCATACCCAAGACCTGATCAAACTTGCTTCCTCATCACAGCGACTGGGAGATGACAGACGGAACTCAGGTTTTCAGGATGTGTGGTTGGTTTTTTTTGTTGGGTGGTTGGCTGGGGGCAGGATGTTTTTTGCTTTCATGTGTATGCATTGGTTTGGGTTTTTGTGAATCTGTAGCTCTGAAACCACTGGACACTGTAACAAGATCTATGTTCTAAGGCAGCTTCACACTGAAGCAACAGGGAATGGAAGCTGACGGTTTCTTTAGATATCGCACACCTCTGCTGGTTTCAGGCAGGAACCAGCTGCTCTCCTACACAGAGCTGGCCGGCTCACAGTGGCTGAGGGACCTTGTTTCATTCCTGAGGAGTCAGGCTCAGCGGTCAGGCTGGGTGCATGCACAGTTTGGAAGGCTCGAAAGTGGCCCTGGGGGTGGGGATTTATTTTTAGGCTTTTGGAGCTAGCAAATCGCTTTGCCCATAGCCTCGTTTGTTAGGTTCTTGGTGTGCTCAGCAGAGAAGCAGCTTCTTTTGTTAGGCTGGTTGTAGTCTTCCTTCTCCCTACTCCCGGTGGGCAGGGATGGTGGATGGGGGTGGGTTTTTTTTTCTCTCCACTTGGATTTTGTTTGCTGTTTGGAAGCTGGTTGTGTCTGTCCACGAGTGGTAAGATACTGTATCATATGTTCTATTTTCTATTGTTTTAATTACTTATTAGCAGTAGTACTGTTAGTATCACTGTAAGCTTCATTTATATAATTAAATAGTTCTTATCTCAACTTTTACAAGTTTCCCTTGTTTTTTTTTCTCCTCCAACCCTTCCTCACTGTGGGGGGCATTGGTAAGTGAGCATGCAACTGCCTGGTACTTAACTGTCAGATAAAGCTAAACCATGACAACACCTTACAGTCAGAAGGGTGAACTGTGCAAAAAAATTGCAGCGTGTCTCAAAGCATACTGCACATAAGTGTGATAACTCAAAAAACATATTCAGGTCCAGCTCACAACTTAGAAGTATTTGTATCTTACTATCTGACTAAAACTTTCAATTTTTTGTCAAACACCAGATCATATTTGTAAAGCTTTCTTAGTGAAATACTAGGTCGTAAGTCCTCTGTCCAAAGTAGTAATGAACTCTGAACACAGGCTGTAAACCTGTTATCTATGAAGTGTTACAACACACACTGTCTTTTCATCTTTTTTTAGAAGCTTGGAAAGTAAATTTATACCCCAGCTATTTCTGAAACTCTTGTACAGATGACAGCTCTGAGAAGATTTTCATGACATTGCACAGGTCAGAACAGAAGAACTGCAGAGGGCACGTTAATATTTGCCAGCTGTGTGAAGACCTAAACACCCGCCTTTTCAACCACTGGAGTCCAACCACACTTCGGCAGTACTTGACAGTACTTTGCCATAAGCATAAACACCCCACAAAAAAGAAAAAACCACCACAAAACCAAAATAACAATGCCCAAAACACTTAAAATGAAACAAAAAAATTCCCTTACTTTTTGCAAATATATCAACGGGTGATCCATCAGGCAAGAGCCAAGGCCAGCCTTTGAACTGCCAGGCAGGACCCTGTACAAATACTGCCACCACACGATCCCTACAAACACAGAAAGAGACAGACAGGCTGACGGCTTTGAACATTTAAACTGCATGTTTTCTTAAACAGGCAATATACCTTAGAATAGTTTCTTATTTTAGTAACAACAGGACTGCACATTTAATCACACCTCCAGCACAACTGCTTTGTCTCTCTTCAGCAAAAGAAATTTCAAGAGATTTTTCTGGACTTTTAGCTCCATCCCTTTGCAGACTGCAGCTCATGTTACATTTATAAGTCAAAGAGTGTTTATTTCTGGTCATCATTACTTTGCTTTAAAAAGTGCTCCAACATTTTAGAACACTGTTAACTTATATTCTAAAATTTATTAGAAGAGACAGCTGCTATATTTCTGCCTCTGGTTGCAAAGTGCATCAGTTTTTGTAAGGGCATGTAATCATTACCTGTGGTCTATGAAAATAAACTTGTGATTAAGATGAAATTTATACATTAATAAAATTTAAAAAAATCTTTGAGAACAAATGTCCTCTCACATACGGTTTGTCTTATTCTTGAACATTTACATCATCTAACCATGGTTCCTACCTACTACAACAAATAATCACCTTCTTAATTTAATCCCTAAATTTAATTAATCATAAAGCCTACAAAATCCCAAATGGAAAAGAATAATCAAGGTGAACTTTTGGGCTAAAAGACTAAAGCTTTGCCATTTAAAACGGTGTTGCAGATTTCGTAATGGCTAACAGGAAAAAAAAAAAAAAACACAAACAGTGGCAACATGTTAATTTCTAAATACTAGTATCTGATCCTCCCTTGGATAAAAAGTAGATAAAAACACCACCCCACTTCATGTCTTTGGTCAGAAGCACTTTAGGAACCGTTTTATAAGGTTCCTAATTTAATTTGACTATTAAACATTTAAAGTGTTATTTTATATTTTGAATTTCAAAACCACGGATTTATGATTAGTTCAAGTTCTCAATACAGAGAAAACTAATTTAGGAACAGGACCTTTTCAAAGTTATTCCTTAAAATCTACTTTGGAAGTTACAAAACCACACAAAATGTTGTTGTGCTTGTCTAACGTGCACACCTGTGAGGAGGCAGCAAAACTGTTGCCTAATTCATTATAGCAAATAACAAAGAGATGTTTCTCCAGAATGTTCCTGCTCAAGAGAAATATGTTTTAATAGGATCAAAGAATGGGCTACAGAAAAGATAATCTGTTTCCAGTTCTTTCTTAAAAGAAAAAGGTATCTACAATTCCCTTTTGCCAGCTGGGGATCTCCCTTCAGAAGCAAGCTTACATCACTGAATCCAACTCAATTAATCTCATTCAATACTGAAACCACAGTTCAGTCTTTACTGTCTGATGTGTTTTCTTGCTTTCTTAAACTACTAAAAAATTTAGAATGTCAGATGCTGAAGGCCTGCAAATGTATCTTCCCAGTAGACTCTCACGCAGAAAGCAGATGAGAAAGGAAGATTTTTCTCTCAGATCATGTTTTGAATTTACCATATACCTATTTGAATTTCTGGAACATTTCAAGCAAACATAATGAAAACACTTATGCTGCTTATATTGTTAAAATGTAGAATTCTGCGATTTCTTAAGAAGTTGAGTGTCATATTATTTTAACCTGAAGAAGAGAGACTCCTATACAGTTAACAATCTAACCCACTCTTTTATTAATATCTTAACTTCTTAGTAAATCTAGTAGAGTTTTACTGGTCCCCTCCAAATTCTGCATTCTCCTGATTAAGAAATTTTGTAAAGGGGCAATCTATTTTACCAGTCTTGTGGCATAAGTTTCAGAGGTTGGTCTACTACTCGATAAGGTACAGTAACGCTGACTGTAGTTCCCCCAGGCTGCATCTGGTCCTTCCTTCTCTGTATTAGAGTTTCATTCTCTCGTTGACAGCCCTGTTTCTTCTTTTCATCTGATGGTACAAACCTTGGGGAATAAATAAACATTTATGAGACAAAAACAGTTTTGCAGGAAAAGTAACAACTTTATCACAGCTCCACATTATTGGCAGCAGTCACTGAAAACATCTCATTTTCGTTATGCCAAGCCTCCTTCACTACTCATTCAGAACAGCAAAAAAGACAAGGATAATATTTCATAAGCCCTTACGATAAAAACAAAAAGGCTCTCTGCCCCTCAAAACTACAGGCTGTCCTGCTCTTATACATTAATGGCACTCCTTGTTGACCCTACCCAATATATTCACAGATGAGGAGCCAGATCACAACCTGCTAAATAGCTACCACTCACTCATTTTAGTGATCAAGAGAAATATGGGGAAGCTTGGGCACTAAGAAACAATTGCTTCCTGGAGCAAATTTTAGAGCTCTTGCTCTTGGAGCCATCAGAAATACATTTTCTCAACAAAGCTGCAATTTTTTCTCCAATAGGTTTCTCAGTGAGGTTTTATTTTTCTGGATTATGGTGATTTTCAGTTACAAATTATTCATCTTGTTACTATGACGTATGAGACTACAATTCTGGGTTTATTTTTTATTTTAAAAAATATCTTCTCTGATAGATTAAGTGCTTGGAAAATAAAGATAACTTAATTCTTACATAAACTCCATATGACCAAAAAAAAAAAAAAAAAAATCACAGAATGGTTTGGGTTGGAAGGGACCTTAAAGACCATCTAGTTCCAACCCCCCTGCCATGGGCAGGGACACCTTGCACTAGACCAGGTTGCTCAAAGCCTCATCCAGCCTGGCCTTGGACACTTCCAGGGATGGGGCATCCACAGCTTCTCTGGGCAACCTGTTTCAGTGCTTCACCACCCTCTCCTGGAAGAATTTCTTCCTGATGTCCAATCTAAACCCTTCCTCTTTCAATTTAAACCCACTGCCCCTTGTCCTATCAGTACAGGCCCTTGTAATAAGTCTCCCTGCAGCATTCTTGTAGGCAATGAATGCGTACGATATGACCCTCCACGAAAAAATTACAGATGTCTTTTGTTTTTCAGTCCCCCACCTTAAAAAAAAGCAATTTGATTTCAAAGGTCTCTCCTTTATGGTGAGAATAAAATACACGGAACAGTTCTTAAAATCAGCATCATAAACGTGAGAGTAGTGAAAGCCTCTTTATTGATGAATCTCAGGGGATTTTGTCAGAAGGAAAGAAAAAAAATCATACATTTTATAGAACAAACTATGTCACAGAACAAGAAGCTGATGTGACCAGTATCACCTACCAGGTCAGCAAAAGAGCAGAGCTTACAATATTCTATTCAGAACTCGCCAGCTGCACTAACACTGTTTGCCACTGACATGTAATTTCCAAAACTTCTGATAAAAAGTAACACTATGTTTCATTTAACTGCAAAAGTTATCAGGAGTATTATACATTTTAAAACCACAGTAGTCTATAGAACGGGTAAGATTTCTTTTCATGACAGTACAGATGGTGCTTTTTAGAAGTTTACTACCTCTTTTGGGTAAGCTGTTTGCAACATCTCTATTTCTTCTCTTCAACCTATTTCTATTTGAATACTAAAGACCCATTGGAATATGCTTAAACAGGCCGACTGCACACTTACCACAGCTGGAAAAACAGAAAAAAGGAATGAAAAATTAAACATGAGGAGAAACTTGAAAATACTAGCTTTTGCTAACTCCTTACATACAATGGGAAAACAAAAAGATTAAGCTCTCTTACACTCTTCATAATTTAACCATTTTTCAAAAACAGAATGTCACAACCAATTTCTGAAGTATGTCTCCAAATGCATACAACTGGACTGGAAAATTAAAAAAAAGCACAAATGACTACGAATTGTGCACTGAAGTTGATTAGCACTGCAAGAACAGAAAAAACATTACAGATTAAATGATAAACTACAAATTTAATTATGCTTATCTGTCTCATACATGCAACACCACCATTCTAAGGAAATACAGACCAAAAAGCTATACAGGATACCCCGGAAAAAAGTACATTTAGGACACCTAGAATATTATTTAACAAAAACATTAAGATAGTAATTTCACCATTTATTGAAGTAATTAGAAAACAGTTAATATTTACATACATTTTATCTACCACACCTGACAGACACATGAAATAGTGTGCTATACACAGAAGGGCTCAACAGAGTTCTTTGGAAAAAGCTACCAAATGTGACATGAGAATTAAGTATTTCTAGTCAAGTTGCTAATTTAAAAACTGAAAAGCGAGGTGCAACTTTAATCACGAGCATATCTAACAGCCTTTCCCGCCAACATGTTGCAGGCTTTGTTTTTCAAATACTAACTGACAGGAAACTATTTTGCAACTTAAAGTGAGGATTTGCTGCTGCTTCTTGAGCTTTTAAGAAAACCATTCACAAGTGTCTCCTCACCCATCAGAACTAAGAAATCTGGGCTGGAAAAATGGAGTTTGTTTTTGTTTTGTTTTGTTTTTAAATAATTTTAAAATTACACCAGCACTCCACCCCTCTATTTTACCCAGGGGGCAAGATCTATATGAAAAGCCAGGATCACCTAAAATAGTGGATAGTATGAGAAAAATTTTGTACTTTATTGCATTCCCTGCACTGAATGAGAACAAACACACAGAATACGTAAACAAAAACCGGCCATACCTGTATTAGTGACAATAAAATACTCACATGAACACCAACCTAAAAGATCACATTTTTAATTTTTAAATTTGAGGAAAGAAACACATTTTTTTAATGGAAACAGCCTGGCCATCACTGCCAAATCAGACAAACATGGACACTAAGAAGCAACGTTGCTATTCTACAGAGAGTCTAACAATTTCACGACTATAATTTGAGACCCCTCAAATTTAGGTGAAACAGGCACTCTCAAATCTACTTCTAGCTTTAAATGTTTGTGTGTTCAATAATTCATTTCAACATTAGCTTACTGACAGTTTCTCTTCATTTCACACTCAGCTAGAAACTGTTACAGCCATTAAGGCACCATTCAGTTGTACCTCAGTTATGTATCTTCTAGACAATAGCTTCAGTTTTATTTACTGTAAAAATCTGAATGTTTTTTAAACGCATTTCTCCAGGACAGAACATAAAGTCTCTTCTTATCTGAATTTTCTGAAGAAAACAGTGAGCAGATTCACATGGAACAGTAGAGAAGACAACTGTGAAAGACAGCACTGAAGGAAAATGCTTATACATATGTACAAACACAGAATATGGGAATAAATGACAGCTTACAGAAAGTTTATGAAATATACTCTTGCATTTCCAGGAACCATTGATTCAGTAGGTATAATGAAAGCCATGTGCTCAAGAACTGAGAATCAATAAAAATCACTGTATTATTATAAATATAATCATGGCTTACTCCATCATTACCAGGACATAAAGAGACAAGCTTAAGAAATCCGAGTATTAAAGAAAACAGCAAAAACCCATCTTCCATTGGGAATTATTTGCCATAATCCTATAGCTCGTGTCTTAACTACACATTTTTACATGACACCTTTTTAATCATCTAACACACTAGAAACGTGTTCTGAAACCCGACTGTGCAGGAGCTTACATTTTTTTGTTGCTTCTCCAGATTAATATTCCCTAGTAAAAACAAAATCATATATCTACTTAGAATCCATTTTATACCCCTACAAGGAAATTAATAGCACTCAATTTTCTTGCTCATAATTGTCAGCATCATTATTCACATAAAAACTGGTGCACTCTCTCTCTTTACAAAGACAGCAGGTCCCTTTCCTGAGGTAACAGGCAAGCGACTGAACAAGATCAAATTATGGGAGGTAACTGGAGAGATACTATCCACTGAACTGCCAGAGCTGCTCATGCCTAGGCTCTCTACTCACATCAATTGCCAGCTTTAAAACACTTTCAGTGCAGTCAGGTCAGCACTTTCTGGCCCCAACTCAGGCATACTGAAAAATGCATGAGCAGAGAATAAGGCAACTCCATGGCTGGGCAGTAACCAAGATCACTGTAATATACATTTCACTGGGTTTGGACCTAGAGACTTAGTTTTACAACCCTCTAAATATTTTTGTTAGATTACAGCATCAAAAGCTTCATACACTTATTTTTGCAAGAGAACAAAGACTTTTGTGATCCATCATCCCTAAATCTTTCAGATAGTTTGCTAAATATGAAAGCTGGATGAATCTCAGTGAGTTGCCTGGCCATATATGGTGAAACATATCATAAGTAAAAGCATCATCGTAATAAAAATACATATAATCTAATCATTTTCATGTGCCTGATATAATTCCTGCCTTGCTTTTGTGCCACGTAAAGCAGAAGCGTTGCCTCTGAAAAGCCTAACCTCAGATACTCTCAAATACTTAAGTCTGGAAAGCCAGATTTTCCACAGTAATTATGATATCCAGTGTTCCATTCAGTTAATGAGTAAGAATAAAGTGTATTATACGAAACATTTTTGAAGAAGCTTCACAATACACCATAAAGTACCAAAGTCTGGATTTTAAACAAAATTAAATCTTAATTTTTATCTTGTACTCAGCTTCTTAGAAAAATAACCTTTCTAAACAAATTTATCAAAAATATTTGCATATTGCACAGCATATGAATTGATATTAATTATTTATAGAAATGTCCCCCTACAAAACCTAAGTTGCAACAAATATATCCAACAAATCAGGTATCTTAAAAACAAAGCTTAAACCAGTAACATGCTTCCTATTTATCATTATATATATATTTCATTCTACTCATATCTTTCCTGCTTTCCATACTCTCCACTTCAAAAGAAAGCATAATATTAGTGATGAATTAAACATGCAAACATCAAACAAAACGTCAGCCAAATTCGGCAATGAAAAAAATCCCAACATACTAGAGAGCTATGAAAAGGGTTACTTAAAATGTTGGTGTAATTAAAAAGTTTCTTAGAGTCCTTGATAACTTAACACCTACCACAGCACTGGATCAAGACTGTCCTGTTAATTTCACAACAACCAACCTAAACTATCTGTCAGTGATACCACAATTACTTTTTCTTAGATCCAAAGTGTCAACATCTTGCAGTCCAGTAACATTAAAAAAAAATGCAGCATCCTAGACAAAAACTATCCTAAAAGACAGGGATTCACAGCTATGACTAAGTTTTGATTTTAAGTGTTTTGATCTCTACTTATAATTTTGGCTTTGTTCCTTATTTTGTGTTAAGACAAATCTAAAAGGAAGGAGTGCCAAAAGTTGATTTTATTTATGAAACCCAAATACACATTCTTTATTATCACACACTTCACAGAAGCGTGCTGCCTCGGGTATCATGCATGGAAGAAAAAGCTGCCCTGTAAACCGCCCATGTGACACACGAATCACAGCTTCCGTACCCCAACAATACTGTGGGCCTCATTCTCCCAGGGTTCTCCTACATTTCACAGCAGTCTCTCCTGCAATGGCTCTTACTCTTCCAGCTCCAAAAATCACTGCTCCTTGTGCTATATCACTGATCTCCTCTGATGGCTAATACAAGCAGGTTGTCTCTTAGAAGGACAAGAAAATCAAATCTACCTGCATCCTCCTTAGCAGGGGTAAGAGTGGGAAAATTAATTTGGCCATGTCTTTTCTATCTTGACAGTATTTCCTTATTCCAAAACTTTTGGCAATGGCCCACGTCTTCCAAACCTCTAGTCTTCTGCCAAACTCACTTGAAAGGGAAGAGTGAGCTAAAAAAGGTGGCGATTTAGAAGCAGAATTTAGGTAAGTCTTCTTTCCTTGGAAAACCATCATGAATCTGTCAATCACACTCTACATCAAGACTAGTTCTACCGTCTGCATACCTGAACAGTAAAAACAAACCCCGCAGCCATTCCTAAACAAACTACTTGAATAAATTCGAATGCAAAAAAATGCAGGCCAGGTGGCATATTTTCTAGAAGAGCGCTAGCACTGTCATGGCTAAATTTATGTTTTGATCTTAATTCTGCTACTGAACTTCTGATTCATTAAGATACCTTGCTGCTTCTCTTTGTCTTTCATACTTGTTAACAATGGTGTCCTGCTTTGACCCCTTAATCTCATTTTTTCCTGGATCACGCTCTTTGCACTATAATGATCCACCTCCTCTTGGGGCAGGACTTGAGAAGCTAAATATAGGTCCCAGTGAAGCTGAAAACAGCGCAAGCCTCCTAGCACAAAAACTTTTCCACTACCTGAAGGGGCTACAAGAAAGCTAGAAGGGGACTTTTTGCAAGGGCCTGTAGTGACAGGACAAGGTGTAACGAGTTTAACCTGAAAGTGGGGAGATTTAGATTAGATAACAAGAAAGAAATTCTTCCCAGAGAGGGTGGTGAGGCATTGGGACAGGTTGCCCAGAGAAGCTGTGGATGCCCCATCCCTGGAAGTGTCCAAGGCCAGGCTGGATGAGGCTTTGAGCAACCTGGTCTAGTGGAAGGTGTCCCTGCCCATGGCAGGGGGGGTTGGAACTAGATGATCTTTAAGGTCCCTTCCAACCCAAACCATTCTATGATTCTAACACACTATCACATAGAAGTGATGTGTTCCATTAAAGGTATTCCCGTACCAGTAAGTCACAAATTACATAGATGTACAATCCAGGGCTTGTACTTGCGAAATTTCTTCTTAAACAAAAAACCACACATAAACATGCAGCATTTTCTGTCAACACAATTATATCAGTCCCGTAACTCGCTGCACATTGAACTGTAACATTAAAAGACAGCCTTGCCTCTGACTAAATATTTCAGAAGAGACACCAAGTGTCCACTACTCATCCTGGATCTTTGATGATACATGGCAGTATTCCATAACTAGAAATCACTGGAGATCAGAAGGCACCTGGTATCTCACAGCACAATTGTAAAAACTTCCAGGGCTACTCCAGTGACAGCTGCAGCACCATAGTAAGTTTGTGAAGAAAAGCCATGCATAGTCTCATACAGGACAAGCAAAGTTCTGAAGGTGAAAGAAAGGAGAGCTCTCCATTTTTTGAGCATACCAATGCAGACAACCTGTAATAGTGTATTTCTCTGTGAAAATGACTGCCTGTTTCAGAAAAAATTAACTGGTATTAACAGACAGGCAACATATCACGATCTGCTGGACAACCAGAAAGATGTTTTGGGTTTTTTTTCTGGGGGAGTGGGGTTGGGTTTTTTTAACATATCAGTGAATTTTACCTTACCATGGAGAATGTAATTTGCAGTGTTGATTGCATTTAGCCATAATGAATTAAATCTCAGGATCAGATGTGTGATCCAATAAAAAAATTTTAGCAACTCATTAATGTTTCCCTGAATGAATTTGCATCAATACGTAATGACAATGCTTTATCCTTATATTTGTTGTCAGTGAACTTTAAAAAAAAAAAAATCTTGATTTACACAACCAGCTGAATTGCTCAGCTCATACAGCCGTCCAGATAAAACAAAGGCCACCCTCCAGTCCCCTTCTCCTTTATGACAACTGTGATCATTTTCTTCCTCTTTTCTGAGCTCCATAAGCACGCTGCCCTTGCTCGTCTTCCCTAAGCCTTCTTCCACCATAAGGGTTTGTTGATTGGTCGCACATGTAGGTATGTAAGTTACATAAAAGAAAACCACTACAGACATTAGAAGGGGTACTGTAAGACTCTCTTCTCAATGTGCACATTTGGCCCACAGGTCACAACTATGCAAAAACTCTGAAAATAAGTTTTTGATTTTTTCCACCTATTCAAGAGGCATTAATTTCTATTATACTCTGGTCTGTAAAACTAGCTTGTCATGAGCCATTAGATACTTCTGCTTGTTTAATTACTAATTTGGTACTAAGTATACCTTTCTATCTGACAACAGGTTTTTATACAGTATGTTCTAATCAGCTACTTACTTCAGATCTTGCAGAAGGTCCTTTGCATTAAGCATCGTTATTAAAGAGGTCGTGGCTGCTGGAATAATGATTATGGGAGTTCGAGATCCTGTAAAGATAATAAAGTTACATTTGCTTGCTGCAGTTTTTTGTGTAGTTTTGGTCACTGGGTTTCACCCTCACACACCCTCCTCCCTTTTTTTCATTAAAGGAACTGTATGTAAAATCAAAACTCTTAACAGATAAAACTAATTGAAAAATATTCAAGAAAAAAAAATAGTAATTATTTTAAAAACTGAAGACTTTCATTCACCCAAAAAGCATTTCTCCTGTATCAGGAGTTGCTAAATATGGGTGTTACCCAGAGCAAAGTAATGCTGTCTGCATTCCACTGCTTGTTTATATTGTTTGCCTGTGATTCCAGCAAAAGGCAGCATGGACACAATTTAAACAAAAATGATTGTGTAACTAAAACTGACTCACCTTTTTTCTGGTTTGGAGGTGGTCTTGCTTGGGAAACTGAAAAAACACCCAGAAAATATAGCATAATTACTAATACATAAATTCAAATGTCCTTGTAAGGCAACATTTCAGTATTTTTAGTTGCAGGAGTGAACAGAGAAGAGTCACACCATAGTGATTAGATCGTTTTCACAGATGCAATACACAAAGTTGAAGAAAGAATTTATAATTGGGGACTCAGTATTCAGAAGACAAACAGCTTTTACCATCTGAAACAGATGCTAGGACAGTCAAATCAATCTCTCCTTACTTTCCTGAAACTAGGCATCCCTCTCCATCCTCCTCAAAAGGTCAGGACACTATAGGCATTGATAATTGCCAGCAATCTTGAAAAAAGCTGCTTTTAGACCTAAAGTTCAATAGTGGTGAACCAACAGGAAGACTATTTCACAACAAGCTTACCTTTCCAGACCCTCACCTTTTCATTAGTAGTTGTTATTGTAGATTTTATCTGCAGAAATTTAGCTGCCTTTAACACATATAGAGCTTTCAACAATTGAAATCTGAATTTCAAGCTTACTCAAGTTGATTTTGGATTGCAGTTTTTGAGTTACATGAGCTCCTTGAGTCACAGAAACAATGAAGCTTGACAGATACAGTAGCATTCAAGGAAAAATAATAATAAAAACCAGTTCAGTTAAAAAAAAAAAACCCCACACCCAAAACCACCACACCACTTGCCACAAAATGACAACAAACCACCCACCCAAAAAAACCCAAGCAAACAGTACTGGCCAGGTAGAAACCAAAGAGTGTGTCCCATTCCCACCAAAAAGTGTTTCCACTTAAGTCTTCCAAGTTGTGACCTCCTCCATAGGGGAGATACTTCAGTCCAAAGTTCGAAAAGCATATATGTTTCTTCTTTTGGGTACTATTACTGAAAATCCTGGCTTCCTCCAAATAAGCATTTTATACATGAATGCTAACTGAAGGGAAGAAGTGTTGTGCTTGATCATTACCATCATAACGTGTTTATCCTGATTCACAACGTCAGAAAATGGTGAGTAGCAGAAAGATTGATGCACACTAACTTAAGTCTCAGCCACTACTATGCATGACAAATTTCATTAATTGACTCCTAATTTCATAGCACCAATTTGCTCATGTTTATTTATGATCAAGTGCTTCAGAAACTGGCTAGAACAGTTTAAATATTCAAAACACAGTTGTCGTTGTTGAAATATTGAGACCATATCCTTAATTATCTTTTCCTGCACTGTCAAACGCACAGACACAATTGGTAACAATTTATTGAATTACATGAATTTCACCTACTCAACTGCCTTAATTATTTATTTATTATTCTAGGTTTCTCCTTAATGTAAAAATGTTCCTGAAATACATAAGCAGCATGAGCTTCCCTAAACAAAGTGGGGGGTGGTGGGGTGGAGGGGAGAAGGAAGAAAGAAACTTGAAAGCTGTACCAAGACATGTTAGTATGAAACTAGGTACTGCAGAAAGGCACACCAAAAGAACCCATCTTAAATTAAAAGCACATCTCATAGGTATTTATTCAAATAAGTATTCTACAAGTGTTTAGTCCAATTCAATTAATGCTTCTATAGGAAAAGAAGCATCCCCCTGGAAACTGCACGTTTTAAATACCTTGACTGCTAAGGCCAGAACAACTACTTTTTAAAAAAGTTCCAAATCCCAAAATATTCTAGAACAAGCAGAAAGTGTGGGTTTTTTCTAATGCAAAGGGTTTTTTTCTAACTAACAATATAGAGGTAAGACAATGGATTAGATGAGCCTTAGAGAAGGGCAGTATCAGTACAACCTGTATAATGCAAAAAAACCCAACCTAAACAAGAAAACACCCACAACGAACCACACACTTCTGCCACTTAATGCCCATGAAGTCACAGCTAGCAGTAGCGACCTGTGACAATTCAGACAGATTTCTGCCCTTACCACTTCTACCCTTTTCATACCATTGTCTGTCAACTCCATTTGCATTATTATGCTTAACAGGGCTAGTGAGATAAGTAAGACAGGCAGCATGACCTTTCTAGTACCAAAACAACCAAAGAGAAGAATCTGCACAACAGCATTTAGGTATGCTGAGAATATTCAATATTAGAATATATGTTCTGGGAAGATTAATTTTTACAATTTTAAATCTTAGCATTAAATAGTACTAATAAATCTCAAGGAATTAACAAAGCATTTATAGTGTCAACAAGAACATAGAGTACTCCATCAATAATTCCAGAAAAAGTACATTAGTTCTAAAAGGTAGCTTTGCTTCCAAAAAATCCCAAAATGTCCCCTTTCCAATACCTTCATAACAACAACCATCAAGTTGTTCACAAATAACACCTTTCACTTGAGACTTTCTTCCACCAAACCAGAAATTCTCATAGTATGTCAACCAGGTGCAGCAATGAACACAGGTGTTTGGAAACACTGATCCTCTTCTATATGGTCTGTTCCCTTACACTCTTAAAAGCCCTTTCTAAATCTTCCTCATTAAACCAAAACTAAGCACCTACATCATTCTTTCTTTGAATCTCAATTTGAGATTCAATCTGGCATACAAAATTGACTTAGTAGCTAAAGTCTACTACCTGGGAATTAAAAAGCCAGTTCAGAATTCTGGCCCCATTACAAATACCTTATGTGCTAAGAAGTGTGAAAAGCAATGATAACACATTCAGAAAAAGGCTTATTTCTGATGTATTAAAAAGAGGTATAATATTAATTCTATTATTGAGATTAGCTTTTCTATTCAGGTTGTTTCTCCTTGGAGTATTAACCAGCTCTTACATATGTGAGCTGGCGTCTGTGAATTACCAGGTTAACAACTGTAAGTTCATGATTCTTTGAGTAGCACATGCTTTCAACTGGGCAAAACACTGAAGAGAATGAAGCCAAAACGCATGGTGTAACATTAACCAAAAAGCTACATGTGATTTCCAATACATATGCAGTTAAGGGCCACAAAGAAACTATCCCCACTTCATTCTTCAGCTAACTAAAGTTTTAAACAATACTTCTTTAAAACTCATTCAGAGCAGAAGCAGAAATGAAAGTAGGTTATCTTACCTGGTCGTGGTACAGGCTGTGCTGCTGGGGTTTGCGTTTTTCGAGCTGAAGCACCTTCCTTTTAAAAGACAGAAGAGGTAACATGAACTGCTGGTATTCTTGGCAGGTGTACTGTTTTTTTAAAATTAACACAGCTACAGAAAGTATCGTGAAAAGGCCGGCAATATGTTTCCATTGAAGAGGAGAAAAAAAACAATCAAAATATTCAAAACACTTTACAGATTCTGTTTTAAACTTGGAGAGGGCTGATAACCTCATAAGGTTTTACAGGTTTACATTTTAACCATCAAATGTCATTCAAACTTTTTTCTATATTCAAAGAAACTTTTTCTATTTATAGTATTGTTTCATTTTACCCATGATCACTTTCACCAAGGGTTAATAATGTACATGTAAGCAATTGGCTACAGAAATTTCAAAACAAGATCAGCTTCTGCTCTGGATGGAAAACGAAGGCCAAGAAATTGCTTTTTATTCCTGCCTTGAAGAGTTCTGGTGCCCAGAAATAGCACACTCATGACAATTAGCTCTGTTTATGCCTTATCCAATTACCTTAATGTAACAAACTAAAGACCTGCATTACTATAAATTCTTGTTAACGCTGCAGAGTCAACACACCACGTAAAGGGAAAAGTGAGGTCACACATCTGGTTCCAAAGCAACATTAAATTCCTGCAAGAACAAATTCTGTTCTCAGTTACTTCTATGAAACCTCACCGAACAACACATATATTATTGACAATATTACTAACACTGTAAAAAGCAAAAAAACCCCAAACCTCTGTATTACAGCAACTTCAATTTGCAAGGCTGCCTGAAACCTTTCCACATGAAACCACAAATCTAAAAAGTACTTAAACGCTACGTGAAGCATATCCTTCAATTGTGAGACACTCAGAAAGGTCAAGATCCCACTCTGGGAAAAGCCTGTCTGAAAGGACTCCAATATGACATTATCACATTTGTGTGTCTATGCATAAACAATATATTCTGTAATTAAAAATAAAAAAAGCTAATGAGCAGGAAACTCCACAAAAGCAGCCTCAAGTTCCATGATTTAAGTAACACTTAAAGAAACTGCTTTTAAGTTTCCACCATGAAAGTTACAACTCTGTTTTCATCTCAAGAACTGTCAAGTACAAATAGAAGAGATGATCTCTTGACAAGCTCTTAGAAAACACACATTTACTCAAAATATCTCTTCCCTGAGCTCTAGTCAAAGCCACCCATGGTTAGTTACAATAGGCTGGAGCTGACATTTGGTACAGCGCACAGCTTTTGTAACTTTTACAGTCAGCAACCTCCTATTAATCTTCAGTATAAGGATTAACGCCCCATTGCAAGGAATGGATTAGACTTGAATTGTGCTGTACTCTTTTCTGATTTTTAAAATGCAAACGTCTATGTAGGGCACTTGACTCAGTAACTGTTATTTTAAGACTTAATTTTTAAGTATCTGAGTAAAGGTATTTTTGCCAGTGTCCTTTCACAGTAATTACTCAGCAGATGATAAAAGTCAAAATACCAGTCTAGGGGAAGATCAGTAGAAAAGGCTGACTACCATTGAGAGAAGCCCTGCATCTGAGAAACAGCAGATATTTGAAATATCAGCACCTTTCTTTCTGCCATGAAAATGGATATAAAACATTTTGCATCTGTTTCTATTAAAAAAAATAATTTTCTGTGTGAAAACACTGTTCCTGTGGTGCACCAATTACACATGTTGAATAAATACCAAGGATTATCCTATAACATTTCCTTAAATTCAAAGCATTTCATGAAATGTCAAGTTCCAAAGTAACATTAAATTTGTGCAAGAACAAAACCCCAATAGGTTAAAGAAACATCACTTCCTGCAATGCTAAATTTCAATTTTCTAACTCCAATTCAGCTTTCTTAACTATTACTGTCTACAGTCCCAAATGTCCATTCCTCTTTCCTCCCCTACAAAATCAGCACTGCAACTTTGCAGCCTCCCCTTCACTTATTCAGTGCCTCCCGTATCTTAAAACGGAACCTTTAGGGCCTACGGCAGCTGCAGCAAATAGAAGGAACCAGAAGCTGCTTCAGAGATTCTGGAGTTCTTCTGCAGTCTTGGAAAGAATTATAACCAAATTAGAATCACAGTCTTGCTTTAGGTCCCATATAACAACTCGTGCTTGTGTTTGTTCTTTTCACCAAAACATCCATAAAGCACCAGAATATTTATAGGATCGAGCATAACAAAATAATTGACAACCTATCTATTTGGAAGCTTTTCATACTTTCCTCTGAACTGTCTTCTCTAAATTGGTTAGTGGGAAACTTCGTGCAGAAGCCTAAACCAAAAGGCAGGACTTTGAGAACTTTTGCAACTGACACAAAGAAACCAGGAAACCAACCCCCCCAAAAAACCCCAACAAAAAATCACATTAAAATAACAAACAAAAAAAACATTAAAATATCTGATTAGTAAGATAAAAGATTAATTTAAATAAGTAGATGCATAAGACAGCTACGACTTCCATGCCTACAACATTTCTATTGGTAGGAACAATTTCTGCAAATTAATAAATGACAGCAGTCACAGCTGAATTACTGCCTTAGTCTGTGATAATTGAATGGACGAACTGCAGCTCACAACTCCATATTCTGGCATCCTAGCACAGCAGCTCAATTGTCACCTACAGAAGGCGTAACATCCATACTTTGTAACCGATTTACACCTCTCGTTACCATTATCAATGGCCTAATCATCACCAATTATGTAAAAATTACAGACAAGGTAGCAAAAGAACTTCTGATCAATATTTCAAACCCACATTTCTTAAATGGTTTGTAAGGAGAAGAGTGTATGATTAAGATGAGGACGAAACAAAAGTACAAAGCAGTGATGACTGACAAGATACACTAAGTGGAGAAGAAAAACTGCTCTCAATAAGGAAGTCATTAGCAGGAAAATTTTGTTAACATTTCACACCATCCTGAAAATAAGATGCCAAATTTAAATACAAAACTAATGCTTTTCAAAAACATTCAGATATAGGTGTGAGTTTTTCCTATAACAACACACTGATTTATAATACAAACTGTTTACAAGGCACATATAAGCACAGAGAATTACATGCTAGAATCTCTCCCAGAAGAAAAGAAAATCAGGTTGGAGTAAACTTCATGATTGTTGGTTCACTCCATCACACAAGGTGCTTATGGCCTCTTAGCTACTCAGAGGCAACTTACTGTTTGCATGGTCTAACTCCTCGTAAAGGCAGTAGCTCATTTCTCAGTAAGTGCACAGTAAGATATTTCAAATCTTCTGATGTGAAGGTTTTAATGTAAAAGTTACTCTTACGTAACCAACATGCTGCAATTCAAACTCCAGTTAGGGAAGCTTTTGGTTGTGCAGCCATACCCTAAGCATCAGAAGCAGCAGAAATCACTGTTTAGCTATTTAAAGAACATCCATTTCATCTAAAGACTGAACAGTTTTGTGCAAAGATGACGTACCTAATTCTTACGCATAAACAATTTGAGGTTGTTAAGGAGTACATTATGAATATTCATAAGTAGAAACTAATTTAGTAACAAAACCATGTAATTTGAAAAATACAAATCTTCACTAAAACAACCACTTAACATAGTATTTTAATCAAAAAGAGATTACTTGAGTTGGTTGTGCTAACTTACCACAGAAGCTTATATATAGCTTACTTATGATTTACATTAAATATGAGTATTTAACCATTCAGAAGTATAGAACAAAATCAAGAAAACAGATAGTAAAAGCTTCATACTTTCCTGTATTTCATGGCATCACTTACAGATGCACAACCTGTATCTGTAAGTGATGTCCCTGCCCATGGCAGAGGGGTTGGAACTACATGATCTTTAAGGTCCCTTCCAACCCAAACCATTCTGTGATTCTATGATTCTAACTGTGTATACTTTTCAGTGCAATTCATTCCATATCAGCACTTATGTTTCTTATCATATTAGACATTTACAAAATGTCCAGGGTTTTTTTAGTGTATGCCTTCTATTATTTAGCATTATACTAGCTAAACAGCTAAAAATATTGGGTTTGCAAACTAATGTAAGAATAGAAAACAGGTTAGAACATGTGAAAAAAATCCGTATTCCTGCTTATAGTCAAACATGGAAAAAAGTCCACACCCTGAATGTTGAACAACTTCCATTATTGTACACCCTATTAATTAAGCTTTCAGCATGTTAATTTCTTCCCTCATCCTTTCATACAATTTCTATGTCATCTTAAAAATTCAGACACAGCTATATGCTCTTGTAAGTTTCGTGACAGTAAACTATGTTTACAATAACAAGGAGCTTTAAGACTATTGCTTAAAATCCTTTAAATTGTATACAGCTTGGTTCACACCTTTCCTTTCACACGTGCATTCATTTTCCCTTCCCTGCTTCTACATTATATAGGCAAGTTGCAATACAGTGTGAAGATGTAAATTGTTTGGGACAGATTCTTACCACACTTGTCTGTCCTCCAGTACATTGCACCCTCAATCCATTTTAATGTAAAAAGTTCAACAACTTTTAAAATATCTGTTTCTTGCAATAGTAAGCCTGAGATATTCCATCTACACAGACATAAAAAATTATGTAAAAAAGGTAAAATGTGGTCCATCTGCGGTTGTTTTTAGTTACCCAACAGTGCGGGGTGGTTTGTTTTTCTTGTGGGGTTTTTTTTGTGTGTTGGGGTTTTTTTGTTGTTGTTGTTGGGCTTTTTGCTTGTTTGTTTTTTTTAAACCCTTCTGCAGTGTCTGTTGACCTTTTTAATTTACAAAATAAATCTGTCATGCTTTGTGTTAACTTAAAAAAAAAAAATCACCAATTAACAATATTCATCTGACACCAGGACCTAGCTAGGAATTCTCTGTATTTTGGGGGGGAAAAAACCCCAAACCCTGTATTTTAGATATCTACTACTTTGTCTAAGTGAGCATTAAATCCACATTTAAGTTAGTTTCACTCCTTTCTCAACTGGAATCAGAAATTGACTGAGCATAACTCATACTACGTTTTACAAAATGAAACCTCATGTTTTAA